GACGGCTAGCGCAGAAAGACCGCGTGAAGCTTTGCGCGAAATTCCAAAACAAACAAACAAACATACTCAAGAATATATTTTCAGTCATTAAAAGCAATGTATCGAAGAACTCTATTGATCTCACAATTTTTTATAATAAAGTCAAGCTATGATGTTGTTGACACTTGAAACCTGATATGATACTGTGGATAGATTTATTACTGAGCTTGACTATTTTTTTAGCAATTAAAATAATATGAAAAAACATTGTTTTCCAAAGTTTTATTGAATGTCTTTTTGGTATTGACATAGAAATTTAGAGCACATTGAAACAGTTTGCATTTTCCACTAGCACCTGACTCTTTGACCTTGACCTTTGTGGAAACCAAGAAAGGGGCAGATGCACTAGTGCACTTCCTGACAGAAGAAGGCTACCCAGTAGCAAGTATACATGGTAACAAATCTCAGCGTGAAAGAGAGGATGCTTTGTGGTCTTTTCGATCAGGTCGTAGACCTATTCTTGTAGCCACGGCTGTAAGTATCAGAATTTCATCCAGTGAAAGTAAGGTAAAATTCATAGAGAAAATGGACTCTATCCAAGAAATATGTAGTTGGGTATTAATAATCTGAATATTTAGGCCTTAACATTAAGTTAACCTTTTATTTTCAACAAACATTATCACACAGAAACAAAATAAATGAAAAACAAAATAAAAGATCAGTACTATAGTTTTTAAACTTGTTTGTTTATGGAACAGAATAAAAGATCAGTACTATAGTTTTTAAACTTGTGTTTGTTTATGGACCAGAATAAAAGATAAGTACTATAGTTTTTAAACTTGTTTGTTTATGGGACAGAATAAAAGATAAGTACTATAGTTTTTAAACTTGTGTTTGTTTATGGAACAGAATAAAAGATCAGTACTATAGTTTTTAAACTTGTGTTTGTTTATGGAACAGAATAAAAGATCAGTACTATAGTTTTTAAACTTGTGTTTGTTTATGGAACAGAATAAAAGATCAGTACTATAGTTTTTAAACTTGTGTTTGTTTATGCTATTCCTGTAGAATGTATTTACACTTTCACTATGGACATTTTTTTTCTGTGCAGGTTTTAGAAAGGTACATTCAAAATTTAATTAAACTACTTTCTTATCATGGCACACGAATAAACTTGGCATAAAAACATAGCCAATAATCTAAATTTTAACGTTATGAGTTTTAAGTTCTTAATTTTAAAAGATAATAGTAAAACAAAATCCTCAGTTTTTCCTAGTGTGAAAATTGTGACATTTGCTCTTAGGTATCTCCTCTTTCCTAATTTATTTATGACCCTCCTAAGAAGTATGAAATTTAATGTAAATTACTCATCATAATGTTGTCATTGCTAATTTGGTTACAGCACCATAAAACAGAAAATTGGACCCCTCCTCCCACACCCACGTGTCACATCCTCTTTTTTCAGAAATTACCAGTAGTTCTCTCTGACATTTAGTGTTATATTATGTATAACTAATGGAAAGCCAAGGTTTTAATTTATCAAATGGTGTATTCTACTACATTGTTTTCTGTAAAGAGAATTGTCTATTTCTCTTCTAGTTCAAACTTTATTCCCATGTGAAATGCATCGATGAATTTAGCTGAATTTTTAACAGTTCTTGTCACATAGTTAGAAAGGGTAACAGGAGCTACATGTTTGCCAAGTGATTTACAACTTGTGTGGCACAAATAGTAGATGAGACATGGTTCAAAGGGCAATGAAACAATAAAATATAACTATAAACAAATGCTTACTGTTACGAGTTTAGAGCTATTTAGGAGAAACAAATGTAGTTTCATGTTACAATTTGAAGTCATTCTAAAAAGAAAGAAAAAAAGGGTAATTTAGATCTATTTTGAATTTTTTTATTTTGGTGTTTACAAAGTTGGTCAAATTGCCCAATTTGGAAAGAGTTAGAGTAGAGAAAATAACAGATAAAATATAAAGTTTTACTGAAAAATAATGTTTATTTATAATTATTAGAAGTTATTAGAGATTACACAAATTAAATTTGAAAATGTTCTGGGGAATAAAAGTATTTTTAATCTTAACATGAAAATCATTTTGCACCTAGAGCAGTCAACACTCTGACTATATATTCACAGAAAAATCTTTAGTAAAAATACTTCATTAAAAATTCTGATTTTTTTTTCTTCTACAAATGACTTAATGACTACTGAAAGCTTGTGAAATTTCATGAAGATACACAAAACACGTCAGAAGTTATAGTATGGAAACTATAAAGGTCAATTTGTGGTCATGAACTCAACTGATTTGACTGAGCCCGAAGCGAGAGAGCTAAGCAGTAACGTAGAATGAATAGTGTATTTTAATCTTTCCAATATTATTGTACATGACCAATTTGTATTTAAAAAAAAAATCAAGAGAAGTGTGGAAAAATAATAAGCTATTGATCTGATTAAAGACATGTTTGAAACAGAGTATTTTATTACTAGTCATGTCTAACATTGCATACCAGCTACCGCATTCTGCTTGTCATCGTTTTCCTTTTATATTTTTTAGTATTTTGCTGGACATATGATTCTATGAGATACGTGAATTATCAAACTGTTATTGTCTTAAATAATTGTATTTTTATGTTCTTGTTTTTTTTTTCATTATGATATTGTCTCTCTTTTATTGTTTTTCGTACGTTGGAAATGACTTAAACATTCATGATGTCAGAAAAACATGTAGACTCAACAAGTCTCGATACAAAATGATAAAACCCTAAAGTTGAACCTTGAAGAAGAAAGGTTTACCTTTTGAAAGTGCTTGGGTTATAGGGTATTTTGACTTAAATATTGTAAGCCAACTGCTACATCGTCTTATATTTACAGGTTGAAATATGTTTTTAAGTAGTTTGGTTTTAAAGTATATGAAAATTGTTGGTTCATTATAATTTAATTAGTATAATTTTAGCACTTTGGGCATATTCAGTGTTATTTCTTATACTGATATCCCTTGCATAGCCATATGGTAAGGATGGTTGACTCTGTGGATCATGGGTTCAAATCCCATAACCAAATGGACTCTATTTAATCCATGAGAATAAATGTTATAGTCTGTCAATCCCACTGTTCAATTAGAATAGCCCAAGAGTTGGAGGTGTATAGTGTTGACTAATTTCCTTCTCTCACTCCTTAATCAGGGACAGCTAGCTCTGATTGCCCTTGAGTAGTTGTACATGAAAATCAACAAGTACCCACAATTAAAACATTTAGAACAGAAATTGTAATACTTTTTATAGTGCATAAACAGAACATTACTAATGATGGGTTTTTGTTCAAGTACAGAATGGATTCCAGCTTTAGTTTACAATTTGCGTGTGTTCTGGGATAGAAGTGAAATGTTAACAGAAATATAATACATGATTAATTATTTGAGTTGACTAAAAAATCAAGAAAATTATTTTTACAGGTTGCTTCTCGAGGTTTAGACATACCGAATGTGAAACACGTGATCAATTACGACTTACCAACTGATGTTGAAGAATACGTTCACCGTATTGGCCGTACCGGAAGAGTTGGAAATTTAGGTTTGTCTTTTGTTCATTGTTTTAAAGAAAGTTACAAAGCTGTGGTTTATTATATTTCAAATAAAAAGAAAATTAAAACACTTTAAACATAAATAATTACCTTTACTCCCAGAGTTTATCTTTTATCATTCAATATTTTACTTTACTGCTTATTTTATGAATTACAAGTTCACTAATAAAGTTGAGAGCAAACTAGAACACAGTTTCTTGTGTCCCAGAGTTACTTAGTAACAGTATTATCAAACATTCTTGAAGTTAAGTTGTTCCAAAAATGCATACCAACAATAGTATATACTCAGTGCATGTAAATCAAAAGCTAAACTGTTAAAAGCATACCACTGATATGTGGCATTTTTTATGACATGTGTATAGAGAAACAATAAAAATTCAAGATACCCATTCATTTCCAAACTCAATCAACATCCCTACAATAAAGGCTAATGTTTATATTTTTTAATTTTAGGATAATTTTTGGATTCTTTAATGTTGTGACCCAGCAAACTAAGTCTGTTGGCTAATATCTTAACATCAGATAAAATGTTTTTCATTTATGGTATCCCAATGTCTTTAATATAATGTGCAACAATAGCATTATTTTTATTGAGATCTTGGATGTCCCTCACTTATTAAGTTATCTATCATGCAGGGACTGGCATGTTTGCAATATATAGTTATCTGAGTGCTTCCATTAGGTGGTTTGATATACAGTGTTATTAAAATGGCTTCATCCCTGCAGCTTGTGCTCAGTGGATTTTTCCCTTATTATCTTCTATGCTTTATTTCTTTGTGCTGATCTCATTATTAATGATTTAAGAAAAATGCCTTGTTTTTGTACTAACTTATTAGGTAGACCCAACTATTGGCTCTTGTGTATAATGTTAAAATAATAAATAACACACAACATTAAAAAAAAAAAGGACACATAATGAAAAACATTTTTAATTCAGGCCAATCTTTGGCCTCCAAGAAGTTGACTCTACATTTTTGACACCTCAATGTCATCATCATGAGTGAAGTTGCAAGACATAAGGTGTCATATTTATACCTTTTAACTATGTCATGTGACTTTTGTGTAGGTTTTTTATTTCTACATAATTCTTAGAGGAGCTCCTGCCACATTCTTTATACTTTACTATTTCCAAAGATTCATGGATGTTATTGGCTCAATTAGCTTTTGGTTCAGTCAATATTACTGTTTTTTTTTCCCTATAGTATCTTGTGTTGTGTTTTTTGCACATGCTCTGCTATGGCTGAATTTTCAGTCTTTTTTTATTTCTTACACATCCCTTATGTTCTGCTAAGTGATATTTTAGATTTTTGTCTGTCCAATATAAATACTTTCACATTCAATTTTATAAATTCCAGATTTTTATGTTAAGTGTATGTTATCCTTACTATTATTCAAAATTTGCTTTATCCCATTTATTGGTTTAAATATTGGGTACAGTTTCTGCTGGTTCTTAAACACTTTAAATAAACTAGTAGTCAAACCTGGAGCATGTGTCAAAATTAAAAATTTCTTTTTGATTTTTATCATAACTAGGTTTTAAAGTAATACTTTGATCCATTATTACAATATTAGTGAATTTCTTAACTGCTGTAACTACGATATTTAGGGTAAATCCTTTTTCAACTGCTAAGTATTTCATTAGTAACAACCCCCTTTTTTTTTTTAAGGCCTAATGTTTTTGTACATAACTTCAAAATTCTGTGAACATAAATGTAAAATTCAGACATTTTTTGTTTCAGTATGACATGATTCCTGGTGTGGTGACATAAGAACAGAAAAAGGTTTCCGATAAATAGGTGTTTCTAAATTATTTTGTTCATCCCTTTTTATCAGTATATCTAGAAAAGGCAACTTGGTATTTTTCTCAATTTCATAAGTAAATTGTATAGATGGTTCTTTGTTATTCAAAAAGCATGGAAGCTTATTTCCATATCTCCACACCAAGAATGTGTCATCGACATACCTTATCCAAATATCAGGTTTATACTTTGCACCATCTATAACTGTTGTTTCAAATACATCCATATACAAGTCTCGTAACAATGGTGAAAGTAGGGATCCAATTGCTAACTTTTCGTTTTTGCTTAGAAAAATTGTTAACCTGAAAAAAAATGTATTCTTTACACATACCTTTGTTATATTAATTATATCTATAATTCCAACTGCTGAACAATCTATTTTTAGCAATATATTTTTCAAACGCTTCAGTTGCATCTTCTGCTGGAACTTTTGTAAATAACACCACATCAAATGTCACTAACAAATCTTCCTCGTTCATCTTTATGTTTTTGATTTTCTCTACAAAATCTAAAGCATTTTTAACTGTATATTTATTTCTCAAACAAGAATACTTCTGAGCTGTATGCTTGGCTATTTGATACGATGATGTACCTGTACTTGATACCATTGGACTAAAATTGTTATTTAATTTTATGTATTTTTGGAATGTTTGTTGGTGTTGTTATTTGCACAGTTCTAGTAGAAGATGCAATTAAGTGTTTTGAAATTACATTGTTACAAAATAAAGTTTCAGCAGCTGAAACTATAGATGTATAATTCATCTAACAAGGTTGTGTGTGAAGAATTGGGATCCCCATTTTTATGTGGCTGTTTTATGGACCCATTAAATGAAAGAAAAGGTAAGCCTGATATTTGGATGGTAACAAGCATTGGTAGAGTTGTATGCTATTTGAATAGTATATAACGATCTGTTCAATTTACCTATTATTAAATTGAAAAAAAAATAAGCTATATATATATATTGGTAGAAAGGAACGAAGAAAGAAATTTAGAAATATCTATTTATCGGCAACATTTTTCTGTTTTTATCCCACCACACCAGGAATTGTCATAATGAAATAAAAAATGCCTGAATTTTAAACTTATGTTCACAGAATTTTGAAGTTATATACAAAAACAAGGGGACTTAAAAACCGAGTTGTAACTACTGAAATATGTAGCCGTTGAAAGAGGATTTAACCTGAATATTGTAGATAGAGCAATTAAGAAATTCACTAGTGCTGTAATAATGGATCAAAAAGAAATGTTTAATTTTGCCATATTCTCCAGGTTTGACTACTAGTTTATTTAATGTGTTTAAAAAAAAACCAAATATTTTACCCTATACATATATTAATGGAGAAAGTTGGTATTTATGAAAATGAATGTAAATGTGGGAGTGTTTATATTAGATAAACAAAATGTATAGTACAAAATATTGTTTAGCAGAACAAAAGGGCTGTGTAAGAAATAAACAGATTAAAGATTTGGCCATTGATTTACATGCATTGTTTATATACTATTGTTAATAACAACTTAGTGTATTACTGTTGGTAAGATTACATACCTTTAACTGAACCAAATTTGATCAGCTGGTAACTATGTCTTAGTTTGGTCTCAACTTTAATAGTGAACTTAGAGGTTATAAATGGCTTTTGAAAAAGCTGTTAAGTGAAATATTGAGCAATAAAAGGTACATTCTGGAGGTAGAGATTATTTTATTCATGTTAATAGTTATTTCTGGTAACAAATTCCTGTTAACATTTAAAAAAGTTATTAAAAATTAGTATGCTTTTGGATGGATTCTTTGTTATTATATCTTTATTAATGAAAAACAAAATTAATATACAGTAAATGTTTGTATGTTACAAACATTGAATGTATTTACTAAGCAAATGCAAGTGAATTATACAAGTTATACAAGATTTTTTAACAAGAATTGGTAAGCTTAATCTATTATATTCATATATCAGAAGTACTATTGTTCAAGAATTAAACATCACACAGCTGTTAGGCTGTAGTTATCATAATTACAGTTCTTCTGATAAAGAGAGTGTTGTGTTATTGAACCATTGTATTTTTTACAGGTTTGGCAACATCATTTTTTAATGAAAAGAACCGAAATATGTCACTGGACTTGGTGGAACTTATGACTGAAACAAAACAGGAGTTGCCTGACTGGCTAGCTGCATTAGCTAAAGAGGTTCAGACTGAACAACGAGCCTCTAATTCCCGTAAATATGGAGGTGGTACTCGCAGGTAAAGTCTTGTAGTTTAAAGGATCTATTTGACTTCTGTATTTAAAAACAAGTACAAATTAACAAATACCTTGTACACTTGTGTGTTAGGAACTGGACTAGTTAGACTAGTATTTTGTAAAATACGGTCACATTTCAATTATTATATATGTATATAGATTACTACTATTTAGAAACAAGTTCGTATACTTATTTTTCTTAAACCATAGAACAGTAAATAAATAAGTAAAGTAAACAATTATCTCTTCTAGTTACGACCTTAGTCTTATTACTCGGTTGCTGCTTGACATAGGTTACTAAGCCTTAAAGTTTCGCACGTGGAGGATATGAAACAGAATAATTTTTTTTAGGTTTTATATATAAAGTTGAATTACAACAGAATATCATTATATATTTATATGGAAAAAGGATGGCATAACATCATGTACACCTGCAAATTAATGGGTATACGTTTGAAACCTTTTACTACATTTAATCGTAATGGCATTTTTTGGTGTTTTTTGTATTCTTTCACTTGATAGATGAATACATGAGGATTATAAGATGTAATAGGTTTATATATGTACACACATGTTTGCTGTAAAATGTTGAAAGTATGATGGGTAGAATTTATTTTGTACAATCACTCTGATCTTTAATTTTTATTATTATAAAGATCTGTTGTTTATTTTCAGTGAGGAGATTGGAATTAATTAAACTGAAAAATATGCTTGCATTCATTACATTTTTGTCTGTGGTTCTTAGGAAAGTTTAAAAAATATTTCAAATATGAATCAAAACTTCTAATTAAAAGAGATGACAAAATATATGTTGTAATAAAAATTTTAAAACACATTTGTAATTTTTGTAATGGGACAAGTCCTTAACAATAATAAAATTATTTTTTATAAAAAAAATCATATACATAGAAATTGTTTCATATGGTATTGATTTTGACAATTGACTTAGTAAGGATTACTTTCTGTCGTATTAGGTATGGGCCTGGTGGCTTCGGTGGTCGTGACTTCAGACAGTTTAATACTCACGATCCACGAGGAGGAGGAACTCGAAAGTTGGTGACTAACGGCTTTCCATCTCCTTGCTATGGGTATGGGGCCAATCAATTTGTCAGCACATTTAATCGAGGAAACTGTGGAGGAAATTATGGCTCAGGAACTGATTGGTGGGGGAACTAATTTCCTCACTTCTGGCAACAGCATTTTTGTTTTATTGTATGAGATGAAGTTTACAGTTGCCACACGGTAGGCTAAATGTGAACTAAATTTTTATGAAAGTACAGTTATGTACACCTATAGTATCCTGGGCTCTTATAATTATTAGTTTATTGTTTGGCACAAACTTTTCTGAAGGTTAGCAACAGTTTGGTATTAATTGTGTATGCTATTTATTGACATTAACTCTGTTAATATATCATGTAATTACTTTAGTAAAGAGTGTGTGGTTGACAAGTAAACGTATAGTAGAGTACTGTGATGGGTGTATGGTTGATAACCAAAATTAGTTTACTGAGTACCATATTGAGTGTGTGTGGTTGACAACCAGGACTAGTTTCACAGAATACCATATTGTGCAATTGACGAGCAAATCTAATTGAACGTGTGGCTATTCATAAAATGTATTTCACAGGAAATAAGAAGTATGACTGTTCTTAAGATATGTGATGGAAAGATCTAGAACATCGATCATGTCTTTTGTTATAGTAGTGTGTGTCATCGGTACACCAAGTATTGCTGTTGCCAGTATTACGGTTCTTGAATTTCCTGCTTTTTTTTTTTGGTGTTGTTTTTTTATTTTGATTAAACTTTAATCATAGAAGTTGTGTATTTTTTAATGTCCCCATTGCTGCAGAAAGTAGTAGTAAACTTTAATTATCAAGCAGTTAAACGAGATACCTGAAAAGAAAATTAGTAATGATAACATGTAACTTTAACATTTTAAATAACCAATGAATTCTAGGAAATCTAATCAGTTGGTCATTGGTTATTTTAGTTTATAAAAAGAAAAAAGTAAATTACCATTAAAAGTAGTATTTTTTTTAACATTTACTATTGGTACTTGTCTATATATGCATTATAATTTCAAATACCCTTATTAAAGAATCCCAGAAGTAGTGTACAGTGAAGAAAATGGATGAGATATGACCATGCATAACCTTTGTATTGTTTTTTTTTATTATTATTATTATTGTGTTTCTCATGTGGAAGCCTTTTTTTTTTTAATTTAAAAAAAAAAGCCCCCAATTAGATTAGTTTAAAATATGAAGTTTTTCAATGGTTCTATATATATTTTTCCTTATTGATTTTCATTGAAATGTTTTTCTTATTATTCATTCGTGTCTGTTAAGGTTCTGAGGATCATATTCTTGTACACGTTTTACTATACTATACTACTGTGTCAAACCTTTGTTATTAGAATTTGAGTTAAACTCATATAAGAGCTTACCAACAAAGTTTTGTATAGCTTCAACTTTTCCCATTTTTGTGTGACTTTCCTGTAATTATTATTTCCACTGTGCTTTGTGCATAGGTGTCCATGTAAATATTAAAAATTTTCTGTGAAAATATGTGCTTTTTGCAGAGATAATCTAGAACTTTTGATTTATATAACAGAAGGCAAAAAAAAATTTACATTCATAAGGAAAGGTAGGTAATTTACTGTACCGTGTAAAAGTTTTATATCTCTTACCATATAAAAAAATTGTCTTCGTGTATTACTTCACCTTCTAGTCTGTTTTAGATATGGGTAGAGCATATAAAAAGAAAAGATTACTCTTGTTTTATGCAAGAATTAAAGCGTTGATTTGTTGTTTTCTTAACTTCCAGTGTAGGCAGCAAGGGGACCAAAATATAACAGTTTCTGAAGTTTTATTTTTTACGTATCATTGTGTAGTTAACTTAGTAGTGGTAGTAAAATTCTGTGTTTTTGAATGGGTGCTTTTGAGGATTACTAGATACTAAAAAAAGTTTTTTTGCCGTTCCAAGTTTTTAACCCCTCAGATCATCAGCATTCGAGACTGAAGTATAGAAAAATAGACATTATTTTGTGACCACTAACTGTAGCTATATAGAAATGTGATTGGCTGTGTACAAGATAATTTATGTTAATCTTACCAAGCGGTTTTCTATCCATTTTCTGATGTGAAAGGCGTTAAACCTTGTATATCAATTAAAAACACTTGTGTAATGATAACTTACTTTACAGATATAATGGCCCTTGTATCATTTTTAACAACAACTTCTTTTACAGATATAATGAACATCTGTCTAATGACAGCTTGTTTTTTACAGATATAATGATCCTTGAATCTTGTTTAACAACACCTGTCTAATGACAGCTTGTTTTTTACAGATATAATGATCCTTGAATCTTGTTTAACAACACCTGTCTAATGACAGCATGTTTTTTACAGATATAATGATCCTTGAATCTTGTTTAACAACACCTGTCTAATGACAGCTTGTTTTTTACGGATATAATGATCCTTGAATCTTGTTTAACAACACCTGTCTAATGACAGCTTGTTTTTTACAGATATAATGATCCTTGAATCTTGTTTAACACCTGTATAATGAGAGCTTGTTTTACAGATATAAACATCTGTCTATTGACAACTTTCCTTACAGACATAATGATCCTTGCATCTTTTTTTTTTACAACACTTGGCTAATTACAATTTGCTGTTTTGTTTTTGAACCTGTACAGTCGTGATAATTTTGTGGTTGACAGTGTACTAACAGTATAAAAAAAATGTTGGTTGATGTAAAAACTCTTCTTTTATTCCCTATGCATTAGCAGCTTCACAGTGGCATATAATGTTACATTGATTATGAAATTATAATTAGTCAACATCCTAAGAATAGCACTATAATTTTTATTTTAAAGTTCATCAACTTGCTCCAGATCTGTGTTATATAATACTTTACTTACTACCAAGTATTTTGTGATGGGCTGCTTGGTTAATAGTTCCATTGCAGAGACCTACCTAGTGTATTATTTGATTTGATGTTTGTACAGATGAATAAAAACTGTCGTGAGGGTCTGTGTAGTGTTGTCGGTTGGTTTGACCATGTTGTAAATAGGCTTTACTTGATCCGAGATAGTGTTTAGAAAGACTGAAATAATATCCTCTTCTGATTTTCAGTTTATTTAGATGTGTGTGTGGGATAATTTTGTATCTACAGTAAAAATGTATATACGAGTAGGCTGAGAGAGACTTGGTTACGGTTATTATCGTTGTTTGATAGCTATATGCTACTAATGTATTAATACTGAAATTTTAAGAGATACAGATTAAATGCACTCTTTACCTTTTACATTAATTATCCAATAATGTTAAATATTTTCTCAAACCAATAACTAATAAAATGAAAATACTAATGTATAAAAACAGTCTACAAGCAAGCTAATTTTTCTGTGCAAATTACATAACAAGCATACAGACGAAGCAGGTTTCCCTTTGGTTAAGACGGGGGTCACTTTTTTAAGGAAAAAAAGTCAAAAACTGTATATTCAAGTTTGTATTGTATTGATGTACATTTGGCTTTCAGTATTAGTGTATTTGTTCGTTTTATGTACTATTGATTACTTTCTTGTTTCTCTTACCATAAAGATGTTTTTTTTTTTATCATGTTAGGTCAGGTCAAGTGTAAATTGGTTCAAACCTTGGGTCTGCATGTAGATTATAGGTATTGTTGGAATCTTTTAAGCAGTATTTTTAAAATTACTGTTTATAACTATATATGAATCTACCACTGTTATTCAAGTGGGCCACCTTGTGTTAAGTATTTATGTTTTTTCATCGAAAATTTCAGAGAGCATTGGTAGGGTGCAAACTAGTTTTCTGTTGTATAGTTTTAAGTGCCTTACATAGAACACTTGTATTTCAGTTTAAAAGGTGTATATAAGAATCAGTAACTGTAAAAATGAATTTTGGTTTTCATTATTGTTTGTTTGAATGGTATTAACCAATGGCATATTACAGGCAAAAAACAACAACAACATGTAAGTACTATCATGAACTTCACATGCGTCAAAATAATGTCGTTCTTACATAAGTACTTTTGTATGTAAAGTCTTTATGTAAAAAAACATCTGTTTTACAGATCTGTAATATAATAGTTATGAATAATAAGGCACTTGAGATTTGTAAGTAGCAAGCAAACAGTAATATGTGCTGGATTTGATATCAGAGTATGAAGGTGTTGAACTTATTTTGTGTAGGTAACTATCTTGCTACTTGTTTTGAGAAGGTGTTTGTAGGACTGATTTTACTTGACCCGGTTTTCCTCATTTTCTAGTTCATTAAGGCCACTTTCAGTTATTTTCATAGTCATTGTAGTTGCTGCTAATTATAACTTACCATCTTTTGAAAATGATAGTCTCAAATCCAGTTAATATAGCAAGCCATAGAACTTTTACCTATTATTTTTTTATATATTATCATATCATATGATTCTCATACTGTTTGTAGCACTAATAAAAAGGACCTCAGCCAAACTTCAGACTTTTCCTAATGCTTCTGTATATAGCTTCCAAGTGTTGACTGGAACTTGACTAGCTTATCAGCTGTTTGAAATATACTGCACATTCTTAAGCCATTGGGGTTGTTGGGAGGGGTTGACTGGGAGGTCTCTGCATAGAAAATCATAAGCTTGTTATAGCCCATCACATACCAAGTATTTATTGATGCTTATATGGAATGGGTGGATAACGTCATAAGACGTTCTACGTAAACTTGTACAGAATTACTTGTTGTGTTACATCACTCCTCAGTGAAACTGAAGTTACACGAATAAACCAGTAAACATTGGCTGTGTGTTTGTTGCCGTTTCTAGTAATTTTCCACTTGCAAGGACCATCATCAAATCTCACTACCACACGTGATCCAGCAGTACATATTTGGATAGCAAATCTTCAGTACACAGCATTGTGGCTGTGTCCATCCATTCCATACCAGCTTTACTGTATGTCATGTGATTGTTTATGGTAACTTATTTTTTCATGTTGTTTATTCAACATGTTTAGCTGTGTGTCAAACCCCCGAGTCAGGGGATGATGGACATTTAAACCTTCCCAAAGGCTCACCCATTTTCTACTCCCTCCTCTAACCTTACAAGGCTTTAATATTTGGTGATGCAATGGCTTCATTTTTGTTCTTCTGAAAAAGAGAACAGTTTATGGGCCAAAGGACTTTTTTTTTTAAATGTACATAGTGTTTTATTAACTAAATGAAATGGCAAAAAAATATTGTTTTTGTATTTATCGGTAACCTATTTATTTTGCTCATGTTTCATTCTCTGTCTTGGAGTATTTAAAGTTGGCAGAGGTTTGGATTTGTACCAGTATAATTCCTTTGAAGTTTTCATTAAAAACTTGTATGTAAAAACTTGATGTTTTCAGTGTTTTGTAAAACTGTTAAGTACATTTTTTCTGTATATAAAATCACAGAAGAGGAAACAACTTTTACCTGAGATAAGGTAAATGATGAAAATTAGAAGAAAAAAAAACAGTCAAATAACACTTATTTACTCAATGTTTCAGTTAAAAAAACCTTTTCAGTGAAGCAGCTTGGAGGAAAATATTTCCAATTTTTGTTTGAGTTATTTCATATTTATTAAATGCACTAAAGAGGAAGTTACACAGCGAAACCACAGCCAAGTTTAAATTGGATACATATTACAGTTCCGTACCAGATTGGTGTTAAAGAACTGGTAGTGTCTTGTTTCTTCCGCCATATTGTGCGTTGTTTCATAGGTGCATGTTTGACCAGAGTTCAGGTTTTTAAAACTGGGGATACTTTTCTTAAAAGATAGGTGGGCAATGAACCTTTGGCCCCACGTCTCCGACAAATGTTGGAAGTCAAACCTTTCCACACCTAAAAACTTTCATTCACAGCCTGCAGTCAGTTTTAGGAATACGTTGCTGTTAATGAAAACTTCATAATAATCATTAATCCATATAAAGAATATAAGACTGTCTCAGGTGCCTAGACTAATTATT